GCCACATTTGAACTCAGGTCCTCCTGAATCAAGGGCCGGTGCTCTATCCACTGCACCACCTAGCTGCCCCTAAATTTCATTTTTAAAGGACATATTGTGAAGGCTATTATTGCCTGGACTAAACAAAAAACCATTAAATTAATGCAGTGCTCTTTGACAAAGCAAAATGCATGTCATATTGAACATTCGATCAATTTTAGCTTTTTTTAATGATTACAAGTGTAGAAAATCTCAATTCACAAAGATTCGTTGGCACAAAAGGGATTAAAGCTTCCATAATGAGGCTTTGGAACACCAGAATTCTCTAATGCCTTTTGAGTTAAACTCCAATTGTAGTTAGTTTTGTCCGAAGATCAATGAGTTCATCTTTGGTTAGGTCAACAACTATGACAGAGTTTACATCAGAAAGAAAGGGACTGCAAATTCACCATCCAACTTCATGTCATCAAGATAGAAATAATTAAGAGTTCTGAAGTCTTTCCAGGTGTTTGCAGATTTATCTTTTCAAAGCAATTGACAAGTGGATTTTGTATCTTGTACCTTGGTAAAGCACTTTTTCTGGCATTTGAAAGTTTGCAATGATGTTAGCCTTTACTTATCTATTACCAGCTTAGATGAGAAAGCTTACACTTTTTCAGTAGCATCTATATATAATGATTAACTTTAGTACCTTCAATTGAAAAATTTATGTAATTCCTACAGTTGAAAAATATCTGCCAGGGAAGCCAACAAACTAGACAAAAATTTTTTTTTCAAAGTGTTTCAGAAGTAGATTTGCTTTTTCTTTCAGAAAAAGTGAAACTTCTGGCCTTAATTTAAAAAAGCACTTTAAGACTTATCCTCTTGAAGTGTCAGCAAAATTCTGCTTGGTAAAGAAGCACTTCATATTTTGCTATTTCTTGACAAAGTGTTTTAAAAATGCAATGTTTCTGAGACCTACTTTTGATAAAGTGGGTGACTTTTACAATTGTGACCAATCTTTAGGGGTTGTTGGAGGACACTGAGAGATGTTTAGAGTTTCAACTAGTTGCAACCCAAAGTGGAATGGCAAGCCCATCAATTCCTCAATGCCTTGCTTCAAAATATTAAAAGAAATATCAGTGAGAGAAGAACAAATTTCACCATTTGACCAGGAAACCACTGGTGGACACAGTTTTCCATTGCTCCACAAATCATTTCAACTATTTCTAGTGCATATGGCTTGATTAAAGTATCTCCAACAGTGATGGGGGGGGGAGAAGGAGAGGAGAGGGAAAGAGAGGGGAGCTTCTTTTGTTTGGCTTGCCAGTTAAGCAACTTCATAGGATGTTTCACAAAAAGTTTTTGTGAAAAGGTAAATCCAGTTCTTAGACGTGTCCCAGCTCTTCTGAATTGAATTTTCTTTGAATGAAATGAACCTGTATTTTTTGATGCCTTTTCAGGATGGGCAGGCTGAGGTACTCTTTTTGGTTAGGTTTGTTTCATATTTTAGTTCTGCACAAAAACCTATGACATTTATGCCTCATTGTTTAATTCAACTGATTTATTAAAACAGTATTTGTTTGTTTTTATAATCATTTGTTTGATAAATCTGAATAGAAATAAATAACTTGTATAGTAACTGTAAGATATACAAGAATCTGTATGACAAGTAAAATAAGGTAGATTTTATAATTTATCCAAAGCTTTAACACTTACTAGCTTTTAACTCTTTGATAAGCAGATTACAGTAGTTGCTCAAGAATCACGTCCTTCTTGGAATTCAGTATTGCTGCACTTAAGAGTCCATCCTGTGGCTTTCTGCGCCTTCCTAGAGACAATGGTTCTCATTTCTGATGTCATCAAAGTTTTCCTGCCAACTAACTGTTTAAATGCACAGTATTTTCAAAGAATAACAAATGAACAACACTTGTACAACCAATTGCACATGCATGACTTTATTTCCTAACACTAGGAAGAGAAAAGCAAATAAAAGAAAGATCTCTATTCAAAGAACTTATAACATTGTGCATGACCTATATCACAGCACAATCTTTAATACTTTAACAGACTTCAACAGTTCTCTTAACTGTCAGATGTGTTAGAACTTAGCTGTCCTACAGCACACTTAGGTACTTATTAGTGTTACAAAAGGCTATGTCATCTTATGGAGAATTAAGAACTCACATTTGAACCACCCAATTTTGTAAACTTTAATAAACAAGAAAACAACCCACCTTCCACATATCAATCAACAAATAACTGTACAAAAAGAACAACGGAAAGCAATGTACATGATGTCTGAGTTGCCAATGTGAGAACATGTCACTCTCTGATGGCTACTAGGTGCAGAGCTGCCCAGTAATTGGCCAGCTATGCTGTATGAGTGTCTATAGACAGAAGAATGAACTCACATGCAAAGTAGGGGCAGGTCTAATAACAGCAATTTTGAAGCAATAATAAGCATAAATTACAAGATATCTCAAGATATCTGCAACAACTGTAATGTAATATGAAAAAATCTGTGACTTCAATTGGCAATAGTCACCATAGTCACTAATTCTACTAAGGTTTGTTGGCTACACATATAATTAGAGGAAATGCTACACTTCAGTTAGAGGTTAGTGAAAATAAATACATAATTTCTTTCCTAGCCAACTCCAGAGACCCTTTGAAAGCTATCCATTAGAGGTACATGGATTCCAGGTTAAAAAGCTCTGCCCCAAATCCAAAGACCAGCTTAAATTTGCTCTCCTTCCTATCTCCCAAGATAGTGACCAGAAGCTTAACAAGATTGGGCTAATACACCTGTGGATCTGCTATGCAAATGCATTTAACTATGTGGAAAAGAACAGCTCTGGAATCTAGTGGCCATGACTTCAAAAAATTCTATGACAGTAATGACAATGAAATTATTTGTAGGAATACTGGAAAGAATAACAAAGAAAGTAAGGAAAATAAAGCAGTGATGATAAAGACAGCTAAAATGTATTAACATAAAGTTAAAAGAAAAAACATTTTTAAAGCTCTTGTAGGAAGTATATTTTTCTCACAGTTGTTGGATGGAATGCCTATATCCACATATATGGATATGGATAGACACCACAAATGAATGAGCTAGGCCCAGAATTAAACAAAACAAGCTCTTGCTTTAACTGCAAAACTCTTTTAATGATCCTGAACTTCTCCCGGAAACAAAGGCTCATATTAAAAAACAAAACAATACTCTACCAGCCAGTAATGGAACACTAGGTTCTCAAAAAAATTAAAAATGATCACCCATCACCCAAAGGGCAGCAGAAGGCACATGGTGGGTATGATGGGCTGTAATTACTAACAGACAAGTAACTGCAAAGATGAGCTGGATCACAGAATGTCATTAATGAAATGTATGTTTAGGAGGCTTTATATTCTAAATAAAGATGAGGTAGTCATGTGGTGACAACAAGGATGTCCAAAGGACAACTCTTGTGGTTCACTGGTATTCTCATGATTTCCGTTTGCAGCTCATTGGGTGGACCTACTGTGGTCAATCTATGAAGAGACAAGGACAAAGGTCTAAAAGGCAATGGAGGGGATATCCACACAGAGGAGATCACAGATCCATTTGAGTATCTGATTGGATGTAATTCTTTTTTAGTGTTTCAATGTTCTTTGTCTTCGTTTTTTCTCTTCAAAAGAGACTTTGGCGTGGGTGGGATGTAACCTATGTGTGAAGGCAGCCCATATTCAGACCAATACCTTGGTCTGGCATGGATGACAATCGTTCTCACTCTCAACATTTAAAAAGCCTTCCTAACCAAACCTCCCCTGCAGGAGGAATGCTATCAACTCCAGAAAAGAATTAAATCTCAACAACAGTATTCAGTTAGATTCCCATACAAGCTACACAAAAGGGATGATTTATAGACTAAAATGAACTTTAGCGAATAAATGTATTTTCTGAATCATCAAAAATTAAATGATGTTCAATCTCCCTTCACTGTTAAGAATATTTTATTCTATTATTGAAATTTTATTAAAACTGTCAATCTATATGTGGTATATAAGATGCTGTTGGTTAACAAGACCAGTTAATTATGCTGGATAAATAGGAGACTATTTTCAAATACTCTGAGTCACCTATTAAAAAGTCATGGAGAAGAAAATCTATGTACCAGTTCCTCCACTTAACAAATAGTTCTGCTTGATCACTTTAGACTTTGTGGAAATAATCCTTTGACCCTAGTAAATGTTTTCAATGCTAATATGACTTTTGAGATATCAAGTTTCATTCTCAAGTGTGTCTGAAATAAGGAAATCATTCTACATTTCTTTTTTTTTTTTAAGGCAATTGGGGTTAAATGACTTGCCCAGGGTCACACAGCTAGTACGTGTCAAATGTTTGGTCTAAGGCCATATTTGAACTCAGGTCCTCCTGACTTCGGGGCCCGGTGCTCTATCCACTGTGCCACCTAGCTGCCCCTCTACATGTCTATTGGCTGGAACTAATTTAGTGAGTATTTAGAATTGGCTCAAAACTGTACTGCAATTGGAAATCAAAACCCAGATCACAAAAATGTGCTTTTAACAAATATATATACTATTTTCCAAATCTTAACAGAAGTTACTGCTGTAATCTTATTCTATTAAATTATTTAAATGAATATGGGAAAATAAAGTCTTTTCCCCAGTAGATGCCAATGATTTATTCAGTAACTTAAAGAGTGAAAGCTGATGTATATTTATATGGAAAGGCTAAATTACTCTGAAGAAATAGCTCCTCTGAAAGGTGACTGTCACTTTGAAAGGAACCTGGGAACAGTGTTTTGGTAACTAACAACCCCCAAAAACTGGCAACCGACACAGGTGGAGCGTCGAGAAACTTGAGGTTTTTCTGCATGACCAAGTTCTTTAACAGCTAGCCACTTCACAACTCCAGATTGTTATTATGGGAGACATTCCACATAAGATGTAATCTGTACTTCATAAGACCACAGAAAACTAAGTTACATCAACAGAATCTGTATTCAGGTCTAAGAGCTTTCAGGCCAGACATAAGATTTCATATTTTAAAGAAGGAAAAATTTAATGTAAAAAGTGCTTCAACAAAAGAACAGACATCTGGTAGGCAAGTAAACAATGGTATTACAGTTTAATCAAAGAGAGAGGTCAAACAGAAAAAAAACACAACTCCTTTTTATTCAAGTTTAGAAAAGACAGCTACCCTGAGCTGATTTTCCCCTTCAGACTTTTCATTTCAATACAAAAAAAATCCCATTATGACCCCACCTCCCCCACCCTTATACAACCCTCCCCATTTAAATCAAAAAAGGCTTACTAGCTTGCTCAACTGCTACTGAACAAGAAGCTACTTCCTTCCTCATATATTCTCCAAATAGGTGAAATCTAACCACTGTTTAAAAATGAGCAAGGGGTTATGTAAAACAAGGAATTTATTGTGTAATATATGTAATGGAACAACTTAAAGGTCCAACATATCTACAACATTAACTTTTCACAAACATCTAGCTTGTGACAGTGTCTGGCAAATTTAAAAAATTCCTATGGGAATGTAGATTTTAACAGAAAGTATGCTACAATAAAGTTTCTTGCCTGGTACACAGACATTAGTGATGAAAGAGAGAGGATACCATCCGCTTGGAATGCCTTGACATTTTCCTCCCGGCCCAGTTGAGGTTTCCTTAATTCAAAAAGGTTTGGGTTTAGCTGCTCGTTGAGGTTGCACTGTCTGAACTGCTAGGAGACAAAAAGACACAATTACTGCAGCCTGGTACTTGTCTAACTTCCAGACCTCACATCACCATCTTGTCTGCTTCACACACCCACCAGCCCACACCACTGATGACATTAAGTCACCCCAGTTTTGCGGCTCTAAAACATTCACTATGCAATCAGGCACAGTGATCAAGCCAGGCTCTGGAGAAAAGTTGAGAAAATTCACCTTTCTCCCTTCTTTGCAAAGTTGGGGATTATGGATGTGGTAATATTGTGTATACATATATATATGCTCAGATATGGTAGATATGTGGGGTTGGTTTTGATGAACTGATTTTTCTCTTTTAAAAACTGTTTTGTTACAAAGGACTGTTTTGTTACACACTGACAAAGTGGAGGAATATATTAAAAAATTAAGGTGATGTAAATACAAAAGATTTCAGTAATGTTTTAAAAACTAGACATTTAGTGTGTGTTTGTGATTTTAACAAGCAGTGGCCATTCTTCCACGTTTGAAGAGTTTTTCAAGTTCTTTTGCCTGCATGACAACAGATACACATTTATTTGTCTTCTTCATCAAAGGGTCTAGAGTAGCCTTATAAACACGAGGAACACTATGGCTTCATGAGAACAAAAATATGTGGAATCAGGCTATCAAGGCTCTTGATCCAACTACATAAATTGTACCATCAACAAGTCACTTAAAATTTGTATCCATATCTCTATATCCCCCTCTCCAATCCAAATCCTTTACTTCTTTCAAGACCAACCTCCTCCACAAACTACTCTTAAAAACTTTCTTCTGAATTACTGCAGTCCTTTTATTGCCTTGAATTCTTCTATCTGCTTACCTAAGGACCAAAAAGTTTGCTTACAGGTTATCTATTCTAATCTGGACACTGTGAAAGTAATGAGATAGAACAAGGTGAAAATTCTTTCAGCACTTTTTGAGGGAGGAAAAAGTGTTTAAAAGCATTTAAATTATCATTTAACTTCATCATAGAGGAATATGATGAAAATGTGTAAAAACAATTTAAAAATCTACTATTTCAATTAGTCTTCTAGATAGATGTCTAACAATGCCAACAATCTTCACAACATGCAAGTGACAGAAAATTTTATTCCCATGAAGACACTATGCTGTGGTCATCAGGAACTGAATGGCCACTGAGGCCACTTCCTTCAATCTACTTCAGCTCTCGACTATCTTTTTCCTTAACATTTAACAGGAAAGGTCCAGTCTTCCTGCATATTAGAAACATGACTATATTATGCAAGTCAGTGAGATGATAGCTTTGTCAACTACAGCTAGGTGACACAGTGAATAAAACCCTGGGCACAGAGATCACAAAAAGTGGGAGAACAAATCCTACCTCACACACTTAGTATCTGAGTGATCCTGGGCAAGTCACATAAAACTCTCTCAGAGCCTCAGTTTACTCAGCTGCAAAACAAGGGGGTTGGATTCAATGTTCTCATAAGGGTCCTTTCCAGCTGCTCTAAATCTACAATCTTAGATAATTTTGATTACAGAGAGGGAGAGGTAGTAAGCATAATTACTCTTATGTTCTGTTCCTTGCTACTATTTTAAAGTACATAACTTTTATCCTAAAACCACAATTACCTATGTATTAGAGGAAATGTATCTTTTTTGCTTCAACAGGAGACTTGAAACCAATCTTGAAATGATAATGCAGTGTCAGGAGAAAGGTTTGTGTTATAAAACCATGACACATACTTCTAGACAGGAAGAACTGTAGAGTATGCTTACTGGGAAATGATTATTAAAGCATTTTGGTACCAATAATTTTTGTATCATCTATAAATCATAATATTAGCAACACAACTCACCTACTGGTGTTGGCAATAGGGCTGGTTTCTCCCACATCACTGGACGCTTTGCAGGTTGGTGTGGTGCATATCCCAGGAGGCCAGGTCTTTTAGAGGGTACTGCTAGAAGCGGAGGAGGTTTACCCTTGGGCCCAGAATGTCCTAGATTTATATGAAATAAAAAACAACAAACTGCTAAGATATTCTCAGATAACAATCTTTCCTGATGTTTAGTAAAGCAGACCTCTGAAAATGCACACCCAACTGGCTCACTGCTCCAGATTACTCTTTCCAAGAGATTTGGGATCAGGATCTACAAAGTGCCTTCTACTTCAGCTGGCAGCCCAAACTAGATTACATGTAATTGGGAACCATTTTAAAAATAAATAAAAATGCAATAGAAAATAGGTTATGTTAGTATGTGGTTTTTTAAGTCAACATGCGCCTGCAGAGATCCTTATATATGGTTTGGCGGCCCTATTTGAGTTTGACATCATTGTTGCTGTCTTAACACTTCATTTGCCTTCTCCTAAGTCACTCTATTTGATGGAGCCAACTACTGACCCCAAGTCACAAATTCTGTTTCTATATTTATAAGGTAACTGAAAACCAGCACTTAATAACTATATCTTACATCCAAAGGTATGAGAAATTTCTTTTTAATAGAATTCCATCTAACCGTGTTAGGTAAATGGGGATGAAGTATCCAGTAAAGACAATAGAAACATCCAACACCTAAAACACAACCACATGCCCTCAATAAAGACTCACATCAACAATAATGGTGAATATGTCATTAAAAGTGTACAACTTGCTTGCCTTTTCAATGAGGGTGGGTGGGGAGGGAGGAAGAGAGAAAATGTGAAACCTAGTTTTAAAAACATATGTTTAAAAAAAATGCTGTCACATGCTACTGGGAAATAAGAAATACCAGAAATGGGGTACAGAAGTCTATCCTGCCCTACAGGAAAATAGAAGGGGAAAGGGATAAGAGAAGGAGGAGAGATAGAAGAGAGGACAGACTAGGGGAAGGGATATTCAGAACGCATACCATCTTGGGGTGGGAGGAGGGGTGAGATGGAGTGAAAATTTGGAACTCAAAAACTTGTGGAAGTGAATGTTGAAAACTAAAAATAAATAAATTTATATTTAAAAAAAGTGTACAACTACAAGAGTGAAGTAACATGCGTTATTCTACCTGGAACTGTTCAGAATACTGAATTAGGTATAAATGTGGCACTCACAGGAAAAGCTTCTAGCTAAAATTAAAATTGTTTGCTTAAGATTCAACACTGTGACAGAACTAAACACATAATCTATGGTACAGAGCATTTATTCTGAAATAACTTCTAGTTCCCTTTCTTGAATCATGTTACACTAGAAGCAAAAGACAGAAAATTACTGATATCAACTTAAAGAAGAGTTACAACACATAAATAGAAATGGATTTGCAAGGCATGGCAATGGAATACAAAATAATAAATTAGCTTTTTATAAGTATTCTGTCTCCCTAGATGAGCTTCCCTAACCTCACTAATTACAGACTATTTAAATTCTAGTGTTGAACTTTCTTTAGGTTTTCAATTATTTTTTATAACTCAAACGTGTTCATGAAATATTAACTTCATCTCACAAATTCAAGTAGCAAAACAATAGAATGAAAATAGGCACACATTTCATTTTAACTCACCATTAAAAACTGTGCCTCAAGAATGCTAGAAAGGTGTGGTAACTGTTGGGGAGAGTACGAGTCACTGTCAACACACTGAATCTGTTCCCACCAAGCTCCATCAACTTCTGAGTCTTAACCCAGGAAGAAAACTTGGGTAATTCAAATTTGACATGAAAGGGACCAGAGTTCATAAGACAAGCTCTCTCTTCATTCAGAAGGCTTCTGGCAAACACAGAAGCCTAATTAAAAGTACAAATCTTCCCTATCTAGGGGCTAGGACTGCAGGCAACTTCACATTGGTTAAAAACATTATGGAGACTAAAGCAAGTATCATGACTGCTCTGTTCTCCCAAGGGAGAACTCAAAGGACAGCTAAGATGGCTTAGGAGTCTCACCTTTTTCCCTTTAGTCTGACTCAACCAGGCGAATTTTTTTGTCAAATAGAATTTACCCATTTAGGTAAGTTTATTTTTATTTTTCATAGACACAGCAAAATTCAATGATTGCACATTTACTAGAACCAAAGAAAAAAGTGGAGTGATCATAAGGTAATACTGCTAGGGAAAGGACAACACTGACCTGGTGTTGGAAGGAGTCCTCCAGGCCTATCACCTAATAAAGGAGGCTTAACTGGAGGAAGGAGAGGCTGCCCCTGGAAGGAGTTCCTACCAGGGGTTGGAAGAAGAGGAGGTGGTTTGCCCATAGTATGAGATCTTGGCATCAAATTAGCTTCAATCAAAGCGTTCACAACTGCAGTCGAAGTATCTGGTGTCTCAACAAAACCTGAGAAAAGAAATCAAGGTCAGCAAGAACCTAGAATACAGGCCAACACAACTGAACAGAGAATAATAAGATGTTTGCTGTTCTAGAGATGCTACATGAAATTTAAGAATATTATTTTATATATCATTCTGCAGTTTATGACTTTCACTGAACATCTGAAAGTGTTTCAATGCCAAGCAGCCATTTCTTATGAGTTGTGGGCTTTATAATTCTCTTTAAAATACTGTGGACTCAATCTACTCTGAACCAAGATTAAGAGTTGCTCACCAGCCACTTCTGCTGAACTTATCTAATAACAAAAACTCAGAATACACGAGAATAAACTGCTCAAGCTCTCTAAATGTTTCATTATATGCAGCTCAAATGAGAACCTAAAATGAACACTGACATTAGAGTCAAAAGACTTAGATCTCTGCTTTGACACTAATAGGCAAGTTACTTAGACTTCAAGCTTCCACCTGCCAAATAATTATTGCCATTCCTATCTCACAAGGTTATGGTGAACAAAGAACTTTGTTAAGATGGTATTATACAAATATGAGCTATTTTTATAAAAAGTCATTCCAAATTCATATTTATAAAGGAAACCTTAAGCTTAAAGTGATACTGTAGACATAATGATTATACAAAGTATACTTCTACCTTAATTACCTATTCAAGTTAATCTTTGTTTTAAGACTAAAGGTCTGAATCAAAAAGACTATTACATCATAAAGGTGTCTTCTTTTTTACTACCTAATTATACTAAGGTTTTTTACATGATACTGTTAAGAACAGGGTTTTATCTTAAAAGATTAAAATTTTTTCAGTTTTGGGGAAGGAAATACATGAATACCTTCCAATTCCTCTTTCCTGGTCTTCAGGTAGTCACTGATGGTATTCAACTCCTCCTGATACAAATGTTTTCCCTCACTTAGTAGGAACAGGAGATGTTTGATGCCCAGAGGCACAGAGTAGCTTTCACAGAGGTCCCGTTCTAAGTAGTCATCTACCAGATCAGCTGCTTTTTGTGAAATCCCAGCACCTTCTTGCTGTTCCCGCTCAGCCAAAATAGTCCCAAATTCCTTAGCTACTAGAGCCAACGCATCCTCCAGGGGCATATGGCGATGTACTAGAGAAAAAGAAAAGTATCCAGCTTGATCAATCATATACTTAGGTTACATTATGAAATATTTATGAAATATTAGAGAGGCAGCATGAAGTATTAGAAAGGGCAATAGCATTAGAGGCAGAAGGCCTAGATTCAAACATAGGCTTTGATACTTAAAAATCACATGACCATGGACAAGTCAATTTCCTTCTCCAAGTCTAAACAGGTCAATTCAATTCAATAAACATTTATTAAATGCTTACTATTTTCAGATCTCCTTTTCCTCATCTGTAAAATAAGACTAATAATACTTTTATTATCTCCCTCACAGAGACACTGTGAGCAAAGCGCTTTGTTCAGTTTGTGGCCTCAGGAACAGAAAGCACAGCTCTGAGCCAGGAAGAGATAGGAGCCAGTTTGGCCAAAAGAGCATCACTTCTTTCCTATTGTACGTTTGGAGCAGTAGCTCCAAACTTGTACAATTTGTACAATATTGTACAATGACAAGTCTACAAGTACCCTTACTTCTGCTCCTTCTTCCTTCCCATTCCCCCTCCCCCACAGCCCACAGCTTCTACTTCAGAGCAATTACACTGCTGTTCCACAGTGAGAGTATTGGATTTTAGGATAATTATTTTCCGGTGTAAACCTACTTGTTTTTTCTTTTAAAAAAATTCACATTAGAGACACAGCCTCTATTTGAATCAATACATTATATTTTCTGCTTATAGGCAGAAATGATTGTCTGTGATGTGACTATGTGGGCAGCAACCACAGGTATACTATCAGTTTCAAAATAAAGTATTATATCATTTCCTTATTGTTATGGTGAATGTCATGTCTAATATCTTCTGTTCAGATGCAAATCCTAATTTTACATTCAAACATTTTCATCCCAGCTAACAGAAATGAGAAGAAATGACAAGCAAGATTCATGGACATGTAAATCATTGTTTTCAGGAAAAAAAGTAATATGAGAAAGAGCAGAATCCTTTGACACACCTGCCATTCAGAAGGACACATATCAAGAATAAAAGCTTTTCTGACTGAGAGGATGACATCAACTATAAATATATGCACATATAATTGTATCTATTCCTAAGCAGACCTATTAAAGGGAGAAAGTCCACCTTTTTTTATGAATCATTACAACTAAGGATGATTAGAATAATTCAGGGGTTACGGAGGAGGGGCGTGGACTGATAAAAGGATGGACAGAGAGAACTAAAATTTAAGTTGGTTAAGAGTGCTGTGAAGATGGCAAGAAAGTTTGTAAGTCGGCCAAAGATGGCTAGAACAAATAGCAGCTAAATGAAATTATTAGCAAATGTGACTGTTCTAATAGGCTATTTAACTTTGGGTCAGAATGCTAAGTTCTAAAATGTAGCTGAAAGGAATATTGGAGACAGGTCATTATGGACTAGATATTTGGAGCCATTTATGAAGAAGAAACTAGGTATAGAACCTAAATTCATTGAGAGCCACATAAAAAGTTATGATTCCTCTTCACATCATCTCATCTGGCTTCTTTACCAAAGTGATAAATGGAAAGTTTAAAAGGGTTCAATAAAGTGTACCAGGGTACAAGAAAATGATATGGAATTGTGTTTTTAAATGAAGACAATTTTAAGCAACATTTCTAGTAGAAGCTGAACTTACTTGTGATAGACTTGTGAAGTGAAATTACGGTACAAGAGGAGAGCGCTACATTGGACTGTTCCACAAGAATACAAAAGGGAGAACCGTCATTTTTCACTTCCTGGAGTGCGCAGGTGAGACTCGCCTCTGAAGTCAGATAAATCATTTCCACCACAAGGCCATGGTCTTGCAAACGATGACCTATGCTTACTGCATAGTCCCTTAAAGAAAAACAAAAAAAGCAAAGTTACTTTAAAACAAACATAACAAAGACTCATTCCGTGGCTAATGTGTTTACCTTTTAGTTATTCTCAGTTGCAGAAATATGAAATAAAAACAGACTTCTCAATAGTAGCCCATGCCATTAAACCTCAAGCTATTTCAGATGGCAGAGAAGCACTGTGTTCCTTTTCCTTCTCACAGGCAGCAAACACTCAGAGGCTCTGAAAGGGGAGTTTTGTATTGGAATCCTTCAGTGTTTGCAACTATTAAGTGACATTTTAAGGGAAAAATGTGCCTGCTAAAGTCATGTTTTCTTTTGCCATGCTATTAATACTAACACGAGATAATGTACGTAAAGAGCTCTATAATCATAAAATGGCATGTAAAGAGAATATGATTACTGTCACTTGGCCACATGGGTCAAGCACAGTCACGTAAATAGAATTGTGCATTATTATCCCTTTCCAAAATGGAAATATTAAAGTAACTACAGATTATCTCAGAAAGAATTAAAAGGTACTAACGAAAAGGAAAAATTGAAAAGATCAACATGACAGTTATGTTGAGGAAAAAAAACAATTTTTATCTGACTAATTTCTAAGATATTCCAATATTTGTTGAAGTTAGTACCCTAGAAATAATTCATTTCTGGAAAATTAACAGCATCATTCTGAACCTAAAAGTCATGGGGTTTTTTTGTAAATAGCATTTTATTTTTTTCAATTACATATAAAGATAGTTTTCAACATTCATTTTTATAAGATTCTGAGATCCAAATTTTTCTCCCTCCCTTTCTTCCTCCCCAACTCTCCAAGATGGCAAGCAATCAAGTATAGGTTATACAAGCGCAATCATGTCAAAACATGATTCTGTTTTCACATTCTAATTCCACATTTCCATATGAGTCATGTTATGAAACAGGAAACAGAACAAAAGAGAAAAACCACACCTCTACCCTCCCCCAAAAAAGTGAAAATAGTATGCCTCCATGTGCATTCACACTCCATAGTTCTTCCTCTGGATGTGGATAGCATTTTCCATAATGAGTCTTTTGGAATGGTCTTGAATCATTGCATTGCTGAGAAGAGCTAAGTCTACCTTGGTTGACCATCACATAACGTGGACAATGTTCTCCTGGTTCTGCTCCCCTCAGTCAGCATCAGTTCATAAAGTCTTTCCAGGTTTTTCCAAAATCATACTCCTCATCATCTTTTCTAGCACAATAATATTCCATTACATTCATATAACACAACTTGTTCAGCCATTCCCCAATTGATGGGCATTTCCGCAATTTCCATTTCTTTGCCACCACAAAAAGAGCTGTTATAAGTATTTTTGTAAATGTAGGTGCTTTTCCCTTTTCTATGATCTCTTTGAGATACAGACCTACCAGTGATATTGCTGGATCAAAAGGTATATACACAGTTTGACTGCCCTTTAGGCATAGCTGAACCTAATATTCTGACTGAGAAAAGACAAAAAAGTTGATTTCTCAATGCAGAAACCATGTGTTTCTGGAATATAAAAACGTAGATTAATTTCCTGATGAAAGAGAATAGGACAAATATGCAAAATGAGACAAATTTTTGGACATGGCCAATAGAGGAATTTGTTTTGCTTGACTATACATCTATTTGTTAGAAGAATTTTGTTTTCTCTTTATTTTTTGTCCAGAGATGAGGGAGGTTGGGGGAAGAAAGAGGTGAGAGGGAGAAAAAAGAAATGCTTAATAACTGAAAATTGAAAGAAATTTTAAAAGAAGCTACAATAAAAATAATTTTTAAAAGGTGGACAATTCATAAAAATCCACTTGAAAAAGAAATCTTCATGTTTATAGTCCTTACCAATTATGCAAAATTACTCTGAAAACAATTCATTTGTGCTCATATTCTATGAAAACTACAGTGTGTTTAATTAAAATCAAGCTGACCAATTTATTTCTATTTAGGTCTAAATGTTTTTGTCACAAATGAAAAAATATTTTACACTGCATCATTTCCCACGGTCAGGAGCCAACTGCAGAATGGCAGAGGACCTCCTAAGCTGCCTCTGAAGAGCTCATCCACCATAGTATTTTAATCCATGGCAAAATGCCAGCACTGCAAAACACCAGGCAAAGTCTAGATAAAATCTGAAGAGCTGTTTTAAAAAGCCACTCCAGACAGAGGGAAAAGAAAAGTAATCTCCAATACACCTCTCCAATACCTGACAAAGTACTAGAATTAAATACCAGTAGGTCTGTTTCTTTAGATATGAAAGAAGCAAAATATCAGTGCTGTCTCAGATGGAGCAGCTGGAGTCTCAATTTTAAAAGCAATGAAGGTTGCTTTAAGTCAAATAGTGTAACACCTACCAATTTTGAGGAAGTTAATCTATTCTAAGAATAACACAATGAGTCTAGTCTGGGTTATTAGTGGCACAAACGGACTTGGAGTAGAGACAATGAATTTTAGGGAAACATGTAAGCTATCATGCACACTGATTCTTCATTGCCTCTGGATCTGAGTTCAACATTAAGAATGCACTGTTAAATAAATCCAGACCATCTTCACTTTTCTAGTTATAACATGAAATTCTATAATCCCCTAATATGCAGGAAGTTGTGCTCTCCTACCCTCAATACTCTTTCAATTCTTTTTGAGTATTCTTTAGTGCAAATAATCCAACCAAGTAAGTTCAAAGTGAGATGGAGTTATGAATTTGCTTTCAAAATGCCCTCTCAAAAAAAATCTTACCATGAAAGTAAGGTAGAATTCTTTAAAACGGTCAAATTGAAGAAACAAAAAAGTAATAAATCTACTTATACAGAAAAGACAAGCATGAGAGATGGATATCATTCACTATTTATAGAAACTTTCTAGGATTTACAGAGTGCCTTATGTACGTTCTTAACCTTTTTTTGTGTCATGAACCCCTAACTACATAGCATAGCCTATGGACCCCTTCTTCAAATAATCTTTTTAAATGCATAAAATAAAATACAAAGGAAACCAAAAATACTGAAGTACAGTTACCAAGATACTTAATTTTTCAAAAAAAGTTCACAGTCCCCGGATTAATAACCCTTACAAATGTGTACTGAAAAAAACACTGGACTTGAAGTTCAAGTCCTGGACCTACTACTTACTAACTGTTGAACTATTTATTTATTCATCTATTTATTTATTTATTTAGGCAACTGGTGTTAAGTGACTTGCCCAGAGTCACACAGCTAGTAAGTGTCAAGTGTTTGGTCTGAGGCTGGATTTGAACTCAGGTTCTCCTGACTTCAGGGCTGGTGTTTAGCTGCCCCTTGAGCTATTTATTTAGCAAGCTCTTTAACCTCCTAGAGCCTCAGATTCTTTATCTAAAAAAACTGAAATAACATTTACACTCTTTACTACCAGCAACCAGATGACATAGTGGATAGAGCATTGAACTTGAAAATGAGAAATACCAGACCTTGAATCCTGCCTCACACAATGAGTGAATTGAGGCAAAATCATTTAACCAAGAGCTTTGGTTTCCTTGATCTGTAAAAGCAGGTACAACAAAAGCACCAACCCCACAAGTTGGTTATTAAGATCAACTGTGATAACATGTAAACTGCTTTGCAAACCTTAAAGTACTATATAAATGCTAGTTATTACCTCCTTCAGGGATGGCGGTGGGGGGCAGTGATCAAAGCTCTTTCTAAGTTGCTCTATACATGTAAACTATTTTTATTGTTACAGAGTATGACGCAAGAATGGTGGATGCAGATCTGTTTATACGAGACCTGTAAAGTCATTTTTCAGTAAAATTCTTAAGTCTTTATTTCAACAAACTGTTGGAAGATTCCTAAATTTCACCAATTTATTTGCTTAATATTCAGTTGTACCTTCAAAAGAGATGGAGAACTGAATTCATTTCCAGATCACATAAAGTAGTCACAAGTGACAGCTTAATTATATTTGGAGCTGTGAATGACATGAGCGCATCTAGCCAATCATTCTCACTTTCCTCATAAGGTCCAGAAAGTTCAAGTACCACCAGGTCAAGGTCACAAAGATAGTAAGTAGCAAAGTCAGAAAATGAATCTCAGATTCAACACTCTTTCCAGTCTACCACATTGCTTCAAAGATTGTAAATATGACGGGGCAGCTAGACGGCGCAGTGGATAGGGCTCTGGCCTTAGGGTCAGGAGGACCTGAGTTCAAATCCAGCCTCAGACACATGACACTTACTAGCTGTGTGACCTTGTGCAAGTCACTTAACCCCAACTGCCTCACCAAAAAGCAAAAACAAAAAAAAAAAGAAAAGAAAAAAGATTGTGTATGATTCAATAAAAAGAAATACCCCTACCTTTGGTCTTTGTTGATGGAAACAATGGTGCAATCTGAAGGCCTTTCTTTATCATATTCATTCTGTATCTGTTGGTAAAACTGCTGGTAGAGCTTCTCTTTTCGATGGTCCTTACTGTGGTCATCATCTGGAAAACAATGAACTTCATTAAAAAAAGACTATCAAAAGCCAACTGCTGAGTTTTACAAAACAAAAACAAAAATCTACATAACCTTCTCAAACCCCAGAAAACATAGGTGAAATTTCAAAGACTGTTACCTTTATGGGAATATTGGTATCTCTCATAGTTATCTTCATTTCCTTTAGAATAATCATACTCTTTCCCCAATAATTCTTCAAAGTTACTGTACAAATGAAAACAAAGTATTTTATTCATGTATATTTTCCCTCTAAACACATTCACATATTTCAATTAATAGCAATTTCCAGGATATCTTAATGCTAAATAAAAAACAAAAATTAGCTTTAAAACATCTAAATGAATGCTACAGCCATGTAAAGATAAGTTCAATCTATTATTTCATTCAACAACCACTTTAGCCCCTGTGCATGACTTATGCCAGGAAAGGTAGAAAAATAAGATAAGTTCACATCTCTTCACTATAATTACAAGTCAAATTCTGAGCCTATTATCTCTTCAGGGCTGTCATTTTCTGCTATATTGCAATGCAATGGCAAAGCCTTGGGACAGAAAGTCAGAAGAGCACATCTAAACGACACATGAGCCACCTTTACATCATATTTTCTAAAATCATAAGACAAGAACGTGGAAAAGGTGTTTATGAAAAGCAAAACATAATTTCAGACCTGAAGAATCTTAACTGGATCTTCATGCAAAGGAAGCGGAACATAAAAATCCTAAACTCTAGTTAACCAGAATGTAGGTCCATGAGCAGAGAGCTGTATATTACAAGTGCTTAATGAATGTTTGCTGAATGAATGAATACTGAGTACTCTAGAAATACAACAGCTAAAACTTTGGCAATCAAATTGCTTTTTCTTTCTAAAAGCATAATGAATAGGAATATTCAGATACATAATGATCTATTTATTATCCAGGTCAAAAAGTCCCCTTTCCTGTGATTTAACAGAAGAGTGAAAAGAAATATAAGCTATCACCAGTATCTACAGACCATTATCCATAATGTGAACCAATAAGTTGAGTTCACAAGGAATATCCAACTAGGTGCAGACACCAAGGAAGGCAGCAATCAATTATTTTCTCCAAAGATAAACAAGTCTCTCTCTGATATTTCTCTTTGGAGTTTTTATTATAGTTCTCACACTCAAGCTCTTAAATTACATACAGTTGAAGATCAGCACCAAGCAGTCTGACAAGATCTTTGCTGGTCCACTAGGTATATGCCATGTTTGGATTGATATTCTGAGACTAGCAATTTTTTTTTTACTACCAATTTCTTTGAATTCTGAAAACTTAGGAAACTACATCCTATTCTTCTCTCTTTCATCAAAACACCATCCCAAGGTTCCAAAGGACAAAGCACAGTCTATAGTAGAGAACCGGGTTGTTTGTTTTGCTTATCTTCAGTATAGTTTGCATTGAGAAACACTGCTCTAAGAAGACTGAGATCTTTAGGTTAGGAATCAGCAAGAAAGAAAGAAGCCCACACATCCAGCTTCCACTTACATTAAATCATGACATTGTTCAATATATTTTTCTTTTAGAACACTGGCTTATCCTCTCCAACCTTTCCTATGTTACATACAACAAATTCAACAAGCACTTAAGTGGTTACCATGTGCAATGTACTATTTAATAACAGTAGGGATATAAGAATTAAATAAGACAGTCCTTTCATTCGAGGAGCTTGAAAACCACTAAGGAGGCTCGAATACTCTGTTCTTACTGCCTTTCTCATACATAATAACCCTATGAAGGAAAAGGATTCTGTTTAAGGTCCCTATAAATTTGCCTTCTTTCCCAGGACAGGATAGTGATAAAACTCACCAAGTAAACAGAGTGAACAGATGGGTCCAAGAAGCTAGAGTCTGAGTGGGTATCTGGCTGGTTCTGGAAAGACTCTCCACAAAGGTTCATAAATAAATACACTTCAGTATTATTCAGCAGACACTCTAGGTATGATTTACTAAAATGTTACCTGAGAGAAACTAACCTCTATCAACAGTAACTCCTGAATTTTACACTTCCAAACATTTATACAGTCAGAAAATGCATTTTGTAATTTTGGATTATTAATCTAAATGAACACAAATCTCACCTTTAATGTAGGTGAGACAAGTAGCTTTGTCAAAGTTCATACAAATTTAGAAATATAAGGAAAGGAACTTAAATTTTGTTGTCTTTGTATCAGCAATGCCTTGCACATATTAGGGTGCTTAAAAATGCTTCCTGAATCTGAATTTAAAGCATTAAGACTTGTTTTTAAAAAATGACAAATGGGGGCAGCTAGGTGGCACAGTAGATAGAACACCGGCGCTGAAGTCAGGAGGACCTGAGCTCAAATCTGACCTCAGACCAAACACTTGACACTTACTAGCTGTGTGACTCTGGGCAAGTCACTTAAGCCCAACTGCCTAAAAACAAACAAACAACAACAATAAAAAAATGACACATGGACTCAGAAAAAGGTTCCACAAAACCACCAAACGCTGATGCACTTACTTAGCTGATAAATAAGAACTTTATTACTGAAGGCCCTCATTACTACTTTGTAATACTTTGACCCACCTCTTGTTGACTCCTCATCCCACTGCCCCAAATGACTTTTCTTTCAGTGTTTTATTGTTTTTTAAATTTCACTGTCACTTCTCAATAACTCATCTTCTCCTCCTAGGTCTCTTTTGTAATAAATAAGTACAGAGAGGAAAAACACATATAATCCTCTACCAGCACCAGGAGGGAAGAAGCTTCACCACTAGTCCTCTAAAATTACAACAGATCATTGCACTGAGTAGAGGTTTTAAATCTTCCATTGTTGTTTTTCTTTATTTTGTTGTAGTCAATCCCAAAGTGACTACTGGGAAATTTTTTCACTTTCCTCCAGCTCTCCTTGTCTTTATTTTTTTTAATTTACTGGTACCCTTCGTTTTTATATCACCTTTCTATCCAAATATCTCTCTCCTCCCCCATCTACCCAAAGAACCAGGATTAGTGACAAATAATATAAAAGAAAGAAAAAGCAGTTTAACAAAACCAACCAAAATATTAACCAAGTCAGAAGAATATGCAAAATTCCATACCCATAATCTTCACCTCTATAAAGGGAGAGACTTTCTTATTTCTCATTTAGGAGCAAGCTTGGCTCATGATAAGTACATAGTATTTAGCTACCATTTTTTAATTTGGTCTTTCCATTTACACTGCTGCAGTCAGTGTAATATGTTGTTTTTCCTGCTTCTTCACTTTGTATCAATTCATGTCTTCCCATGTGTCTTTATACTCTTTATATTCATCATGTTTTATGGTGCAATAATAGTCTATTACATTCATGTACCACAATTTGCTTAACTATTCCTCAACCTACTTTGTTTCTAGTTCTTTGCTATTACCAAAAGTGTACTATGAATATTTTGGTGTATATGGACAAGACCATTCTTCCTACCTTTGAGGTTATAGGCATTCGATTTTAGTCTCATGGATATGTGTAACAAGCACTGACACACACATGGTGGGGAAGGGGAGAGAGAGGGAGAAGGAGGGAGAGGGAGGGGGAGAGAGAGAGAGAGAGAGAGAGAGAGAGAGAGAGAGAGAGAGAGAGAGAGAGAGAAACAGACAGAGAGAGAGAGAGAGAAACAGACAGACAGAGAGAGAGAACGAGAACACATGTAGGTGGCATGGTGGAGATAAAATGCTGGGCTAGGAGTCAGGAAGACTCATCTTTCTCAGTTCAAATCTATCCTCAGACATTTCCTAGCTGTGTGACATGGGCCACAAATACACTGTTCTTACTGTCTTTCTCATACATAATTACCCTATGAAGGAAAAAGATTCCATTTAAGGTCCCTATAAATTTGCCTTCTTTCCCAGGCAAGTCACTTAACCCTGTTTGTCTCAGTTCTTCATCTGTAAAATGAGCTGGAGAAGGAAATGGTGAACCACTCCAGTTATCTCTGCCAAGAAAACCCCAAATGGGGCCACAAAGAGTTCGACAGGACTGAAAACGTGTGCATGCGTATGTATGTATGTATGTATGTATGTATGTATGTATGTATGTATATATGTTAATTCCTACTGGATTTCTGGAATGGCTGGACCAATTCACAGCTTGACCAACAGTGAAATGATCATGCTTGTCTTTCCATAATCCCTCTAATATTTATTATTCTTATCCAACCAGCCATTCAGACCACATAACAATCAATCTTCCCTGCTGCTGCCCCACTTTGCCTTACTTGAAACGGACCTTCAGAAACTGTCTCTAATTCCTGGGATAGTTAATACATTTAGCTTTTGTCCATGTCTTACCTACTCACCACTATATGATGCTTTACTCCCCACCTAACCTGGGCCATCTTGCCCTTCCACTGTGTAAGTATTCTGTCCCTATTCTACCTAGAGCTCTGGACATGGTAATAAGGGATAGACTCACAGGTGAGCCTATGCCATCACTACTATTAACACATTACATCATTATAGATGTAATTCTATCATCTTGCTTTCTTCAGAAAGATGATACAATGTAAAGGCCAAGCTGAAAGTCACCTATGCCAGGTTACTTTGGGGACAACAGAAAAAATAACTACCACTCCCAATAATATTATTGATTCTAGAAAGGATATGTCAATCAGCTGCCCTTAAGTTCAAATGATTATCCCACTGACTCTACAAAATAAAGCTTCCTTCCCTGCCCACTCTCCTACATGTTTTATCTCCTCTGTTTGAATACAAGTTCCTTAAAGGAAGAGACTCTTGTTTTTGCATCTGCATTCCCAGCACTTAAAACTGGCACATAGTAAGCACTTAATTAATTTCTTTTCATTTTCTGCTATCTTTGCCACTTTCCTGAGTATAGGGTAAAACCTCAGAGCTGCTCTGATTTGCATTTCTATAATTATTAGTGATCTGGAACACTCTTTAATTTGCTTATTAATAGTTTGCAACTCTTATTTTGAGAACTGTTTGTTCCCCTTTCCCTTATATTCAGATGATTTTACTTCCTAGTTTACTGAGACCAAGAACCACCTAGATTTCTTCATTTCCTCTCCTATTTATTTCAAAATTTCTGTATCTTCAACCATCCTTTCTTTGAAGTAGCCAGTCTTCTCTTGCAAAGCTTCTCCCTCCATCCATACTCCTAATTCTATCCATCTCCCAAATAATAAACCTTGTTCTATAAAAATAATTCATATTTATTTACTGTTTGATATGCATGACTTTGTTGGATTATCACAATAATCCTCCAAGGCAGATGATGATGATGATAACAACAATAATAATAGCTAACATTATATAGCACCTCAAAGTCAAATTTGCAAAGAACTTTTCAAATGTTATCCTATTTGATCCTCACAACAACCCTGGGATACAGGCACTACCATTACTCCTGCACCCATTCTACAGAGGGAGAGGCTGGGGGGTGACTTGCCCAGAGTCACTTAATTAGAATGTCTGAGGCAAGCCTTCCTGACTCCCAAGTCCAATGCTCTACCTATTAGATAGGTTATATATTTTATCCTTATTTTACATATGAGGAAAGGGAGACCTAAAGACACTACAGAGACTGGAGAAGGTGTCACACTGTATGTGGCAGAATCCCACACTCAAATCCAGCCTCTGCTGCTAAACCCCCAGGTTCTTTCCATTGAACCATGATACCTCATTTGTCAGTTGTTCTTTTTCTTTTGTAAATTAAGAATCTCTCTCCCTACTTAAGGCTACTTGTCCTTCCAGCTAAATATTTTCTCAAGTTTCTCTTCTAATTACAAAAAAATCTTAAAAAAAGAAAAGAAAATCTTATCCATCTGTGCTACCATCTCACACTCCTCTCCTATATTTCCTCTGACCCTCTCGTTACTGGGACAACATCACCATTTTGCAAGATCCCATCAGCCTTAGGACATCACTTCATCACCACCCTCTGTCCTGATTGGAGAGTAGACCCACAAACTCCCAAGCCTCCATTTAAGGAGGCAGCTGAACTCAGAACACCTCCTCATTTCTCATCTGGCTGCACTGCTCAGAGATTTCTCCAACTTTTCCTCCATGCTTTCTTATCAAGTCCCTTCCCTAGCTCCTCCTGCTACTCTCCATTTTTCAGCTTTTTTTTGGGGTGGGGGGAGAATTCCCCTATTAGATTATAAGCTCCTTCAGGGCAAGGGCTGTCTTTTTTCATGTTTCTATCCTCATGGTTTAGCACAGTACCTGGCATATGCATATGCATATGCATACACACACATACACACACACACACACACACACACACACACACACACATACACACACACACACACACACACACAGTACTTAATAAATGTTTACTAACAGCACCCTTCATCAAACTTCTAAACTAATGCTTCTCTTTCCTTTCTCATCATTTACCTAAAAAAGGTGCTTTTCTGCAGTATTCGATACAACTTACCACTCCCCAGTTTTGAAATTTCCTAAGGTTCTGTTCTCTTTCCTCTTTTCTCCTTCTGTCCCCGGTCCTCTTTTCTCCTTCTGTTCCATGGTGATTTTATAAAATTCCACAGCTTCAACCTCTAAGACGCTGATTTCCAAATCTACTTCTCCTCATACTTTAGTTCTACATTTCTAACTCCTTGATGAGTACATTTACACAGCTATTCCCACTGACACTTTATCAATCTCATCATCTCTCACAAACTATCTATTCATTCAAATGAAACCTGCTCTATGCAAGGTACTATACGAATCCTAAGTTCCTTGCTTTTATACTGGCACCAACATTCTTCCAGACACACTGGAAACTTCACAGTTGCCTCTAACTCTGCCTATTAATACAGATTAAAATTTAGACACAGGTTATAAATGTCTGTTCAAATCTTCCACTTCATTTATTCCAAAAGTTATGTTTTAGTTATTGCAGGCCAAAAGACAAAGTGCTTCACTGAAGTAAAATTAAATCAGGATACCACCATTTGAAACTTTCTCCTTTTGCTACCATTAGCATTCAGTTCTTGATATGATGAATTTAACCCAAGCTATTTACCAAATAGGCAGCTACTGCTATCATTAATTACAACCAAAACAGAGTAGACATTAAGACATATAAGTAATTTCTAAAACCTTGAGCAAATTCAGTCATTTTGGTAAAAACTTTACCTTTTAGTGTCTTCACTTTCCTTTATGTGACCATCTCCAGGAGAAATGATCAGATGAGGTTTATAAGGATTTATGCTAAAAATATACAAATATAATAAATGCAAAGTTACACACAGAAAGGCATTTTACCCAAACATATTGGTTTTCACCATCTCTAATACATACAATGAAATCACAGATCCAAAGCTACAAGTTGAATTTTCCAAAAATAGTTATCTCTGAAGATTAAAATAAAAATTACTCAAGTTCTTTTTACATTCCTTTTTATTTTAGTTCTACTATATTTATACAAGTGTTCTAGTGAATTTATCATAAGCAAGAATATGTATCAGCTAAATTTCATGAATCTTTGCAACTCACCAAAAAGCTGCTTTGAGAAATCAACACTAGAAATTCCAGACTAATCTGATTTCCCTCAAACTAACTACCCTAAAAATAATCAAGTACGATATTGGTAATAAGATGTCCCTTCCCCCAAAAAAATCTGGCTAATATTTTCTACTAGGTGCACCAGAAATTAACACTATTTTATTTACTTGGAAAAGGTATCTGACATTGGCTATGAGAATTGTGAAAGGTAGATATTCAAGAATTAAAAGCCTATTAATGCTAAGTACTGTTTATGTCTTGGTACAGACCAGGGGACTTGAGTACCAGTTTTTAAAAGAAAGTTTAAATTTTAATACACCACATATATTCTTTGTGCTATATTGCTATGAAGGTATCCAAGTCTACCAAAAATTCCAAAATCTTAAAGAACGACTCACTAACATTAAAGTTAAAACTTTAGCTTGGTATTCAAGGTCCTCCCAATGTATCCCCATCTTCTAGATTAGTAGTGTCAAACTCAAACTGAAACAGATCCCTGTCTCCAGTATACTGACTTAGAAAACCACAAATTAACGTTATCTATATTGTACTATACTTTTATTTTATTCTGTTAAACATTTCCTAATTACATTTTAATCTGGTTGAGGCCTCCAGCTCACAATGAGTCACACCTTTTGCTCTAAGTGGTCTATAAACTTTTTTTCATTAACAAAAGAAGTATCAGCATGAATCCCAATGTGTATATTACTTCTTTATAAATTATATACATGTACTAACATTATTTACATTATAAAATGTAAAAAATAGAAATTTAAAGTGGACAAAATAATATTTGATGCTAGAATCAATTAAAAAAAACCACTGGAGTTGAATTGAAGGCTGACTTGGTCAGATCTGCACTTCAGAAAATGACCTCCTTTTTTCTTCTACGGAATTTCTTTTAAAATCCAATTCAAATGCCACCTCCTCCAACTCAAATTCAAACTTTATTAAGCATCTCCGACATTCAACACTGCATTGGGGTTCTATTCAGTCAGTTAATAACCTTCATCTATCTAAGTCTCATACAGTACTTTGCAATTTTTCTGATGTACCTAAGTTCACTGGAACTCCCACTGATCATACAGTCTATATTTTGAAAGTTAAGTCTTAAGGAGGTACCAGAAGCTCAAAGAGATTAGCTGCCTTGACCATATCTGGTCTTCCAAATCTGGCACTCTATCCACTATACAAGATTGTATTTCTTTCTATTTACTTATTATGCATTATTTGTATTAGTTTACTGTGTACAACACATTCCACCTAATAAAGCATAATCTCTGGAGGTCTAGTAGCTCCAGACCTAGCACAATGGTCAATGGCTTCCTAACTGGCTCCATGCCTTCAGTCCCTCCCCTCTCTGATCCATCCTCCACAGAGATATCAAAGTGACACTTCTAAAGCACAGGTCTCTCACTCTCTTGCTCCCCAAACTCAGGTGACTGTCTATTGCTTATAGGACAAAATACAATATACAAATCCCTCATCTTGATTTCTTTTTAAATCTATTTGGCCCCTGCCTTACTATTCCAAGCTTACTACATCTTTCTCCCCTCCGAAAGCACTCCAAATTAGCCTACTTGCTGTAACCCTGTCTAGGACATTGTCTCTACTCTTCAGGCCTTTGCACAAACTGTCCTCTATGCCTGGAATGGACTCCCTTCTTATATCCACTTTAACTTCCTACAAAGCTCAGCTCCAGGGCCACTCCAGGCCCATGAGGCTTTTTCTGACAGTCTCAGCTGGCAATGCTTTCCCCCAACCTACTAATCAGTAGTTGTTTTATACACATTTTCTGTTTACTTATATGTGGGCATGTTGCTTTCCCTAACAAACTGAAAGCTCACTGAGGGAGGGTCTACTTTTGTGTTTGTATACCCAGCACCCAGCACAAAGCTGTTCCCTGAGGATACCCACCTCCTGACAGAGAGTTGACAGACACAAGATGCAGAAAGAGATGTGTACATTTGGGGACATGGCAGTTGTGCAGATTCACTTTTTTCAACTATGTGTATTTGCTACACGGGTTTTTTTTTTCTTTCCTTTCTCTCAATTTTAAATGGGGGTGAAGTAGGGTAGGGGTAGCAATAGTAATGCTCAAAAAAGGAGGGCCACTGAAACATTTCTTTAAACAAACAGAAACGCACATAAAGAAGTTCAGAAGGAAAGACAAACAAGCAGGACAGTTTTGAAAGTAATGTGTAAAATTCATATATATTTTTAAAGTAAGCAGTATGAAATGGAGATTCAGTTTCATGTAGAATCCTTTTTTGTGTTCTGCTGCATGTATGGCAATGCTCTTTTCTACCATTTAAAATTCACAATTTAAAAATTTTTTCAAAGTACCTATTTAATAAATATTTGTGGATCTTAATGTTTGGTATACAGTACATTTGATTTTGTTGGACTGAATTCAACTTCAATTAACTAGACAACCAACAGCTTAAACTGAACAAAGAAACAAGTGAAACTAAGAAAATGCCTACTTCAAACTGTTATCTGAATGGAAAAAGGACAAAATGAGAATTCCTATCAGCAATTTGGACCGACAAGGTTAAAGAGTATCTGGGAAACATATTCTTCTACAAAAAAGATAACCACAGATGCTTGATTCAGCCCTTCTCTTGATTACAGCAGCCAAGTCTGAAGACCAAGAGAAGGCATTAGCAGATGGTTCGAGGTGCATAAGTCAAAAGGAAGCTGCATTTGCCTTACAGAGCTTCCTAGCAAATAAGCCTGACTGATGCCAAGAAAGCCAGCCGGCTCCAAGGAGAAAAACAGCAGGATATCTGGAACCCAACAGTCCAGCAAAAGAAAGGAAACCTCAAGATACAACTACCTGGCAAAGAAATAGAATATCTAGTGTCACCCACAAACATAATGCTTTACCTCAAACACCTCCTAACTGGAGGGGACATTTTTTTGGCCTGCCCAAGCCATTTACTTTAAGCAATGATAGAGCTATAAACTCATGTAATGGAAAACCTGCTAAGAACTAGTTATATCCAATGGTTACTCTGACTAAGCCACTGAAGAAAAACAACTCACTAATGCACAAATGGACTCCTTCTGGGCTCTTAGCACACCTTAACCAGCTGGACGACAGACAGAACAGGTCAAAAGGAAGTATGCCCCATTCAAGGTCAAGGGCTCTGAAAAGCAGTCAGTAGACAACTACCTAGGATTCTGGAAAAAATACAAAGAAGTTTTACTCTACAACATCAATTTGCAGGTGTGAAATTGATTTAAGCCTAAGAACTGATTCATTAATTACAGTAAACCAAAGTTTATATTGCAGAATGAACCAATTAATAAACTGTTCCGGCAACCCTAAAAATGAAGCCAAGCTATTGATTTCTCTTTAAATCTGTTAAAAGGTATAAGAGGTTATTTAATATTAAAATCTACTTGCTTAAGTGACTGTCTAGAAAGGATTTTGGTTTCCTATTTGTCTTTATCTAACCATTGTAATTTCAAGTAAAAATTTATGAAAAGATCTACCAAAATACCATTCCCACAATTATAATTATAGACAAGTTTCTAAAAAGATCTGTCACCCAAAAGAGTTTAGCAACACTGAGAAAATATTTTAACATTTTTAATGTTACATCTCAATTATCCCCAACTTATTAAATAGTCTATTAAATCCTCATCATGTGACCCACTGGGGAGAAATTTTAAAACTAAAAAGATTTTTTAGAAATCCACTCTTAAAACTGCCATCATTGTTTCCGGTCTTACTGAAAACAATTTCAATTTTAATACTTCTCTACAGAAACTTGAATTAGCTGACAAAAACTGGAAAGAACAGTTTGTTGTATTGTCCAAATCTAGTAAAATGCTAAAGTTACTCAATGAAAAGTTACTCAAATGACAAATTTTAAATGGCTCATCTCAAAATAATCCAAAGTATCAGGAACGCAAATAACAGAACCAAGTGTTTAACTTTCAAATGCTCTTTGAAAAATAGACCAATTTATTATCCACCACAGCAGCCTAAATATAAAGTTTTAGTTGGACTGGGCCTTAATGATACTTTTTACATAGATAAAGAAACTGAGGCTAGAGAGATAATGGGATCATAGAATTTCAAAGTTAATGATCAAATATGTAGTTCAATAGTCTACCTTTTACAGATGAGGAAACTGAGGCCAAGAGAAAGTCAGTAACTCTCCCAAGGTCCCACAGGTAATAAGCAGCAGAGCCAGGTTTTAAGCCAAAGGCTACTGACTTAGATGCAGACCCCTTTCCACTATACTGCTATCCTAGGTCACAGCTAATAGAAGAACCAGAGATAGAGTCTCTTCACATATCCCTTGACTTGGCAATTTTTCAATAATTCTCTGTATTTAGGTTCATTCATGACTGTGGAATCCTGTGTGTTCCCTACCTCACAGGATTGCCATAAAGATTAGGTTCAAAGGGGATTTCAAGATTTAAATAACAGAACAAGTAGCATGTAAATAATGGCTAACATTTATATAGCACTTTAAGGTTTGGCAAAATGCATTCCATGTTATCCATATTCTCATGACCACCCTGGAAATAAGGGCTATTATTTTCCCAATTTTACAAATGAGAAAAGGGGGGGGGGAGTAAGTAACACCATCTGAGGCAGAATTCCAATGCCGAACTTCCTGATTCCAAGTTCAGGACTGCTTCGACACCTTTTTGCCTAAACAGCAATCACTGACATGCCTATTTGTCTAAAGACGGCCTATCAAAATTTTTCCTTTCAAAACAGCACACAAAATATACTCAAAATTTACAAGCCAAATCAAAATAAAAATTAAGGGAAACTGTACCAATTCTGCACTAGATGGAAACTAATGAGAACTCTAAACACAAAGAACAATGCTGGAAACTTCTGCAAGGAATAAGAAATATGAAATCCGTAGAAGCAGCAAAAAACCAAAGTGGTAAAAATAACTTCTTTAAAGAGTTACAGAAAATTCAAGTGACAATCATCACTGTCTCTGAAGAATGATAAAAAGCAATGATACTAAAATGTAATGAGACAGTGATATTTTTCTATACCAAACAAGGACCACACAAGTGCCACCTTTGCATATGCAGGCTACTCTCAATCTTTTAAGGTTCCAGACTGTTAGCTCAAAGTCCAAAGAGTATTAATGAAAAGCTTCAGCTAAATAAGAAGACTGAAATTTTTTTTTATCTGAGAACCAGATTCTTTGAATCACATATTGGAATGACAGCTGTATGGTCATACTCCATTTACTGAGGTTACCTCAGTATTAACAGAAACAGACTTTAAAAAAAAAACAAATTCCATAATGTTTAAGTTATACAAATGAAGAAAAAAATTTGATAAAAATTTCCCCTAGATGGCTCTTATCAGACATGTTTAGAAGATTTATGAAACTAAAGAAGATGCTTGATTTCACACCTATCATTTTTCAGATACAGGTTCTAGAATTCAGGGACTTATTGTTCACTAGTGTTTTGAACCCACCCTTTTCTTCTTTGACAAAGCATCCTAAACTACACAGACCATGACAGCAGGTGCTACTTCTAAATACCATAAGCTCTCAGCTACTATTAGGTAACCTATCATTCTATTTTGAGAAAACGTAATAATACTAACCATAGTCACTTAGTCCGAACGTCTCATTTTATTTTATACATAAGGGTACTAAGGTCCAGAAAGGGTAAGTACCTTGCCCAAGGTCACATAGCTGGTTAACAACTGCACTACTAGAACCTAGATCTTCTGGTGACATTGCAGAAGCTGAGGTTTACAGGTATGGGCACAACACTTGGTTCTACAAAGCAAAGCAAACAAAGCATGAGCTAGGGCAGGTCTTCTCAAGAAGGAAAGGTTAAGAGAACCCAGAGGACCAGCCTTGATGACCAGATTAGCCTCCAGGCCAATGGATGAATTTTTCAGCTAAGGTAACTCACCAAACTGATCTAAGGTATAGAGGAGTTGTGATCTGCAAATCTGTGGAGGGAGTATCTACAGCAAGGAAATCCCACTTTAATTAAGTACAATCACAGGAATATAAAACAGCATCTAATTTTAAAGTAATCTTTATTTTAATTTACACTCATGGTTGACTGACCATTAGGAAATCAATTTACTTCATTAAAATGACAAAGATTACAAATAATAACCTAAATTTTGACTGGTATTTAAAATAAATACTATTTTAAGAAATGGTATGGAGTCTTTGGCTTTTTAAGTTATATTACTGCGGTTTCGCGCCAATCTGCTATACTATCATAGCCAGAATCACGAAAAACCCAAAGCACAATCAGTCATTCTGAAAAATTTAAATAAGAACTATTTAATAAAAGTGAAATCCATCAAAATTTTCTAGAATAGATGCATCTGTTGAAAGGATTTAACAAATATGATTCATATACAGAAGACAGTTCGTTTATCCAACACCATAAAGGGACAAAGTATTCCATCTTAACTGAATTTTCAATATAACTGAAGTTGCAATCTGCTTTGTTGGAAGATAAATCAACAGATCTTTCAAAGTATGAATAATCTACAGGGGGCTTGGAAACTAGATAAGTAAACGTGTAAGAACTGTCTCTAAAAATAGGTTCTATGGGGTTCTAGGAGAAAAATGTCTGTTTCAGTGAATGGAATTTGTGACATCTATGGTGATCAGGCTCTGGAGAGCTGAGGTTGCCAAATGTGACTATTTGAAATGAAACACTGGCATATTCAAAGACTTTTATACACTCACATAAGCACTAAGTCTTTCCTTTCAATGACAACTTTTTCTAAGAGAAAGCCTTCACAACTAAATATTAGTGAACAGCTCTAGATAACAATATAGACAATTTCATCTAACTTGACTAACCTGCTGAAACTCTAATGAAATACAGCTAGCACAAATATTTATGGGGTATTTTACCTCACCTTTTATCTGCAGCACATCTTTGAGTTTGTCCTCTGTTAACCTTGACCCACGAAGACATTTTTAAATCCTACAACAATTAATTCAGGTTATTTGCCTTCAGGATCAAAATGATTAAATATTTTCATACCACCATTTGAAAAGAGAAAATTTCCCCAACAAAGCTAGGTTTCCTAGTCAGTCAATTTTTAATTAAGCACTGTAACAGGGAAACAGTCAAATTAAAATCCACAGATTATACAAAAACTCCATTTATAAGCTATAAGGTAAATGAAGTAATTTTAAATAGGAGGATATGAGCTTTGAAAGAACTGAGGTGCATATGAATGAATAAGCATTTATTAAGCACCTACTAAGTGCTAAGCACTGGGGATACAAATGCAAAGACAGCTCTGGACCTCAAGGAGCTTACAATTTTTTTTGTTGTTTTGTTTTGGTTTTTTTAATTTTATTTTTATTTTATTTGTTGAAAATAAGTATTTTCACATGCAAGGCAAAACAGAAAAGGAGAACAAATCTCTATTACGTCCAGTTTACTTTTCTTTTTAAGCATAGAAATTCAACATGTAACTTTCAAAGCTGTCCAGCCTGTCAGTGTTTCCATGTGGATTACCTTAGGTAAAGGAACTTCTATTCTTTTAAGAGAGAATACACACAGGTTGGCCAAGAAGGAGCACTTTGATCCTGAAAGTTATGGGTGAACTAAGCCACAGAGGAGTCGATGGACATATACCCAATGGCAAAGTGGATTTGATCATAAGGAGAGAAAGATAGCAGTACACACTGGTACTTGGTATAAGTATGGAGAGGCAGTGGGACACAGTAGATAGAGAATTAGCATCTTTGATCCATACTGGTTTTATGACCCTGGTGAATCACTTAATCTCTCAGGGCTGTAGGTAGCTCTCTAGACTTTGAGTTGCAGAGAAGTTGCCCAGCTGTGATGGCAGAAGGAGCTTTCTCACTCAGGAATTGGCTAGACCAATGAAATCATAAGTCCATCCCTATTCCCAGTCCAATCTATCCCCTAGTATAACACTACTGACTGTTTTTCGTTTTTCTTTTTTTGTCTCCATACCCAGTGCTTTGAACATTGTAGGTTCTTAGTAAATATTTGTTGAATTAAACTAAATTGAAATGGGGCCCATTACAGGGTTTTTGGATGTCTTTGAAAGGAACACTGACCTTCAATAGACAGACTGGGCTAGTACACCTTGATGCTTCCTAACATTTCCCTTTCACTGATATTTTAATTTTATTATTTCAGCAAAAATCAACCTAGCTCAAACCTTTTATACCTTTTATTCCTGAAGATGCTGCTGCTGGATTTCTCTCCTCCCTTTTGGTAAGAAAGCAGGCAGAAGTCTCCCTCCACCCTTGTCTTTCAAGCAAAGCCTAGGGTGCGACAAGAGGTGTTAAAAAGACGGTCCAGTGGAGTCTTCAAAGATCCAAGGTAGATTTGTTTACATCTCTGGGTTAACTGTTCAATATCCTCCAGCTACAGGAAACAAAGCAGGATCACACTGACTGCTCCTATAGTGTTCCCCTTTATGCACTCCTGGCCAGCCCCAAGCTTCTCCAATCACCAAGAGAGTAGAGCCACTACACCAATTTCTCCCCTTCTTTACTACTATAAGACTGATCTCCATTTTATGACATTCCTTCCTGAGCACATCCTAGTTTCAGGCCATGGTGTAATATTTTTCAAAATGCACTGCCCAACCCCCCTCCCCAATTCAGAATATAAGCCCAGCATAACCCACTCCATAAAGCTTTCCTTGACACAGTCTTGTAAACTTGGCTGCACAAGGATTATTACCTCTATTGACAGGTGAGGACATTAAGACTAAGGGAAATAAATTAGGTGATAGTCCCAGTCACTTAACAAATAGCCAACAGAACAAGAACTAGAGTTTTTGAAAAACCTGAGAAACAAGTTTTCTGAATCTAATGAAAGGAACACTAGATTCAGAGTCAAAGGACCTGGATTCAAATCCAGGACCTTCTATTTGCTACGTATGTGACCCTGGGAAAGTCATAATCTCTTTTTGTTAAGTTTCTTTATCTATAAAATGAATGGATCCCAAACTACTTTTGAATGTTAGGATTCCTCCCTTCCCCTCCCCCCTCTTTGACATGAGATCTCCCTATCCCATCCAGGCTGGAAATGCAGCAGCCATTCACCAGTACTGACAGGAACAGAAGTTTTGAACTGTTTTGTTTCCAATATGGCCTAGTTCATCCCTACACAGGCAACCTGGTGGCCTCCTCCCTACTGGGGGTTTACTAAGGATTTAATACAGACACTGAATGAGCTTGAGCCCACTGCAGCTCAGAACTCCTGATCTCAAAAGACCCACCAGCCTGAACCTAACTGGTAGCAGGGATTAGAGGCATGTGCTTTGAACTCTTTTTTAATAAGAAATTTCCTGGACCTGACATGGCAATAGTTGTACTATTAATATTACATGACTGAAAAAATACATAATGAATACAATACTTTTAAGTTAATTTATATATTAATAAAATTTAAATAGTAATGTATATATTGTAAGACATTTATACCAACTGTAGAAGCTATGTTTACTTACTTATGAATTTACATTTGGATTCAAAATAGGGAAAAGGGCTTAACCCCCAAACTGAGAACCTCTAGATTAGATGACCTTTGAGGTCCACATTAGCTTTAAATTCTGTGACTTTATTCCTTCCACTACACTTGTGCCTCCCAAGGTGAATCTAAAACAGGACAGACCAATCTCCTAAGGCCTCTAGCTTCTATTGCAGGCCAAAATCAAGTCAGTCAGTCAATCAACAAGACATTTATTAAGTGCCTACTATGTGCTAAGTCTAGAGAAGTCCAAGAGCTTTTCCAGTCTCTACAGACAGAAAGGAGATGATAGCAATCCAAGTTAAGCACTTGTCAGCACCTCTCAAAGAGACCAGATGTCACAAAGAGGCAAGAAGGGAGAGGAAGAGAATGTGGAAAAGGAGAAAAGAATAGGAGAAAATGAAAGGAAAGGTTAATACGGAAATAATTATTTTAATTCAGTGAACCACGCAATTAATACAAACTAGAAACACTACAAAGCTTCTTCAATGAAATACATAATTGTTTGAAAAGAGTCAGCCTAGCCAACCACCAAAGAAAAATGAAGTAAATGTTGAACACATTTCCCAAAAAATTACATGTGTACACAGGCAAACAGATAGAAAGATACTGGACAAATGCTACAGATGGACAATAAATTGGAGTCAGGCAGCGTGAAAAGAGCACTTGGCTCTGAAGTTAAGAGGACCTTGGTTCAAATTTCAAATCTGACACTGTGTGACCATAAGCAAGTTACAATCTCTTGCTGGGGCCTATTTTTTTCATCCATAAAATGAGGGGGTTCGATACAAGAGCTTCTGAGGCCCCTGTCAGCTCTCGATCTGATACTCCCTCCTCTCCAGACAGCTCCACAGCCCCTTTGAAGACAAGCTACTAGAGCCAGGAGAGTTCAACCCTAAAAAAGCCATCTACAATTGGTACTTTCACTTCCTCTACTCTCACTTTCTAAAACCTCTGAAATCTGGCTTCTAATCTCATCATTCAACTGAAACTAATCCTCCAAACTTGCCCTTCCTCTTATTTGATCTCCATTCTCAACCTTCTTATCCTCTCTGCAGCATTTGATGGTGACCACCTTACCCTATATCAGGGGTCCTATGAATTTTCTGTTAATTTTGTTAACTGTATTTAAATATAATTGGCTTCTTTTGTAATACTATCTATTCTTTAAGCATTTAAAAACATTATTTTGAGAAGGGATATAGATTTCATCAGACTGCCAAAAGATTCCACAACATAAAAAAGTTAAAGAGCCCTTCCTAGATGGATGCTCTTTCCTCTGTAGGTTTTTTTGTGACTAGAGAGGATGGTTCTCTTCCTACTGTCTGACCTCTACTTCTTTAACTGGATCTTGATCCAAGTTATACCCACTAATTGTAGGTGTCTTCAAAACATTGTCCTCTCTTCTTTCTTTCTAAACTCTCTCACTTGATCTTATTGGTTTCTACGAGTTTAATAATAACTACCTTTCTGCACATGATTCTGAGATGCAGATATCCATCTCTAGTTTCTCTCTCCTAAACTTCGGTTTTGCAACACCCGCTGCCTCTTGGACACCTCAAACTGAATGTTCCATGGGCATCTCAAACTCCACACATCCAAAATAAGACTTATCATCTCCCTCCTCCTACCTTCCCCTCTTCTGAACTTCTCTACCATGTGAAGAACGCCATCATCTTTCCAGTCACCCAGGTTTAAAATCTCATTGTCATCCCTGATACCTCTCTATGACTTATCTCATATATATAATTAGTTACCAAATCTTTTAATTTCTTTCTTTAAAACTTCTCCTTCATATGAGTTTTCTTTCAAATCACATAACTACTATTTTAGTTCAGGTCCAAATCACCTCTCACTTGGATTACTGCAATAGCCTTCTAATTGGTCTTCCCACTTCACACATCTCTCCCCACTCCACTGAGCTGCCCTAGTGATGTTACTGTGACTATGTCAACCTCTTACTCAATAACATCCAGTGGCCTTCTATTACCTCCAGGAACAAATATAAAGCACTTTCACAATTAAATCTCTTTACAACTGAGCCCCTTCCTATCTTTCCAATGTTCTTCATTCTCCTTCTTCCAAGCACTCTATGATTCAGCCATACTGGTCTACTTGCTATTCCTCCATCTTCCATCCCCATGCCTTTGCACTGGCTGTTTTCAATGACTGGCATACTTTCTCTCCCAAGCCTGGATTCTTAAAATCTTTGGCTTTCTTTAAGACTCAGCTCAAGTGCTCCCAGACACCCAAGATGCTTGTGCCATTTCCTCAAGTTAGCTTCCTTAAGGGCAGGAACTTTTGCTTTTTCTGTGAATCTTCTTAGTAGGCCTGACATAAACCCTTAATACCTGTTGAGTGATTCATCACTGAATTTTATCTTCCTTCCATTCCCCAGCTCCTCTCACTTCTGCTTTCCCCTCCCCTTCTTGATTTGTTGACTGTCTCTACCACCCCTCTGCTTCAGAAAAGCCCCGAGACTGGCTTACCTTCCCTCCTTACTCTCCAACTCTGTCCTCCACAACTTCTCAACTGTTACTAGTACACACTTTCCTCTCCCTCATCCCCTCCAGTTCTGAAATCATTATCAATTCAACATAAGCAAAATGCTTCTCATATGCCTCTACTCCCCCAATAATCATCTCCACCCATTAGAATGTAAATTCCCCTAAGTCAGAGGCTGTCTTTGCTTTTCACTGCTTTCCCCAGTTTTGGCATAGAGCTTGGCACTTAATAGTACTTAGCACAGAGCCTGACATGTACCAGCCAGCTCTTAATCAGTCTTTTCCATTCATTCTACTGAATGGTTTAGATCAAATGGAGCAGATATGAATTTGGGAAAATGAACAATTCTTTAAACATCAGGACTCCAAGTTGGTCTCTGCTTCAAAAACCATCCATCTTCTTAACAGTAAAGTTTTCTTAGTGCTATTATATCTGGGATTCATGGAACATCACAATTTCATAAGAATCACAAATGTGGCAAAGAGTCATGTAATGACAGTCTGGTGCAAGTGGTGTTATAGCGAGTTATTAAAGACTTACTTTGGGGAAGTAATATAAAAATCATCACCAAGGATACCTATGATAAAAAAAAAAAGATGAGCCGCTAATGACAGTAAGGTAAGAGTATGTTATAGGATGCTATTTGTAAAATATTAAAATTAGCAAAGAAAAGGTCTTCACTGTTGAAAATCGTTTCACCTATCTGAACTTCAATCCCTCACCTTTAAAACAGAGATGAACATTACAAGTATCACTAACGGCAATTGTTTTCTACAGCAGATTTACAGAAAGACAAACGTGAAACGCATAAGCTGACATATGGAGAAGGGTCACCCATCACTTGTGGAGGTAGTCTACACACTGATGACATCACCGTTTTATTGAAATATTGTTACTATTAAAACTCACGTTGTTATATCGCTTTGTGCTTTCCTCACAACGATCCTGTGAGCTATGGAGCAGAAGAGAAGGGGAAGAGAAGAAATGACTGAGGGGAACGAAGCAAAAAGCAGAGAAAATGAAGAGAAAGTGTGGTGTAAAGAGGGGCAAGGTGAGAAAGTTACTAAGCGTAAAAAGTGGGGGAGACAAGGGAATAAAAGATCGAGAAAACAGGGAAGGAGAGAAAATGAGGTGAAAAGAAGGGAGAGAGAAAAGAACCAGGTAAAAGAGAAAGGGGAAACGATAGTGGGGAGAGGGAGAGATGGGGGAAGAGAAGAGATGGGAGGAGGACGAGAAGGGGAAAGGAGACGAGGAAGGAGAGGAGCAGCAAGTACGGAACGTAGTCAATGGAGGAAAGGAGCAAGGAGGGACAAGGAGAGAAATGTGAGAAGGCGAAGGAGGGGGTCGAGGCCGGGAAGGATGGGGGCGAGGAGGAAGGGTGTCACAGAAGGCGCAGCTGCGGGCTCGGGGTCTGAGGATGGGGGAGAAGGAGCTCCGGCCCCCGTCGCCGGAGCGGCCGAACGGGCTAAAAAACAAAAGCGGAGGACGTGGGGCCGGGGTGTCGGGCAGGGGAGGCCCGAGGCCTTCCGCGCCGAAGCTCCAGGCGCAGGTGGAGCCTGGGAGCGAGGCCGAGTCCTGGAGAGGGAGGTCTGTCTCAGGGAGGAGGGGGCTGCACTTACCGGAGCTGGGAGGTGGCGCTGCCGTGCGTCCAGCTCCAAGCTTCCCGCTGCACTATACGCCACTCTCATCCAGGGGCCGCCACGGCGGTCCAAGCCCCACCGCCGCTCCCGCCCCCCACCCCCCCGCACCGGCTTCCGGCTCCGGCCCAGCTTCCGGTTCCTGTTGTGGCTCCGTACTCAGGACTCAGGCTCCGTTGCTCCTGGAGACGGGCTCCTTGCGGCAGACCCTCCGTCAGGACGCGAGAGAGAGCGCCCTCTGGCAGACCGGAGGCCCAGCGTAATCTGAACGGCAATGGGTTTTGGAGAGAGGGGAAAAGGGAAGAAAGGGAAAGAAGGAGCGGGAGGGAGAGACAGAGACAGAGACAGAGAGAGAGGGAGGGAGAGAGAGAGAGAGAGAGAGAGAGAGAGAGAGAGAGAGAGAGAGAGAGAGAGAGAGAGAGAGAGAGAGAGAGAGAGAGAGAGAGAGAGAGAGAGAGAGAGAGAGAGAGAGAGAGAGAGAGAGAGAGAGAGAGAGAGAGAGAGAGAGAGAGAGAGAAGAAAGAAGAAAGGGGAGGAAGAGAAGAAGAAGAAGGGGAAGGGGAGGAGAAACATAAAGATAGAGTATTAGAGCTGGAATCCAGAGATTCTTCACCTTTTTCTTATTTGGTAACCCTTGGGCAGTTTGAGGAAGCCTATGGAAACCTCAGAATAATATTTTCAAATGCATAAAACAAAATACAAAGGAAATCTGTAATAATTGAAATACAGGTCAATTTATTTTTAAAGCAAACTCAAGAACCCAAAGTTAAGAACGCTTGTGCGTGTATATTATACATGCATACGTGGAGTTGGAGCTGAGGGAGAACATTGAACGGCTCTCTATATACACACGTACACTCATATACATATATGTGTACATTTCATATCTATATCTGTGTGTGTATATATATATATATACATATATATAAATATATATACACACAGTCAATCCTCAACATTCTTGTGTTTAACTTTCACAACTTCAAGCATTTGCATGATTTTATTAGCAACCCCATTTTTACTCTCCTGTTGGCAACCAGGAACATTTGTGGCGCCCCCAGTAGAGAAAAAAATGAGAGGCTCATCTCCCACGATTTTGTGGAGCAGCTGGTATTCTACTAGGCACTTCACTGTTTACCCTACTGTTATAAAGAGCTTCCTGTGCATTGGTTGCATATTTTCATTGTTTGCCTTTTAAGTTTTAAGTTGCAATTGTGCCCCCAAATCGTACTTCAAGTCCTTTAGTTTCTAAGCCCAAGGATGCGAAGTCTGTGATGCAGCTTGGTGAGAAAATAAAACTGTTAGATAAACTTCATGCAGGACTATCTACAGGCTATTGGCCTGGTCTCCTTTAAGGAACACATATGGCACAGGAAGCAAATTTCTATGGCAGATTATTTCAAGCTGGCACATCCCCTAGCTGTGAAGGACAGAGTGTCAGAGGTGAGGTGGAGGCCTTGCCAGTCTCCGACAGCAGCAATTAAAGTTCCAGCAACCTCTCTCTTAGTTTTCAGAGGGCAGCCAAAGTAGAGAGGTTTTCAGCAGTATAGTACTATACACAGTACAAAATTGTCACACCTCCGTCTGATGCAGTGGAAGGTAAGATTCAGGCTAAAAAATGTTTTAGTTTTAAAAAATTTTATTTGCTGTACACTATTAATGGTACTGTAGATTTTATATGTTATGAAAGGTGAATATTGTCTGAAATCCATTTTTTTAAAAATTGAGATATTAGCATAAAAGGTCACAGAATTCTAGGGAATTGCTAGTGAGAAAAAATGTTTTGCATATTACCAGTTTTATTATATGTAATGTATTTTATGGGTTATTTCATGGCTTCTGTGTTAGGAAAAGTGCATGTTATCAGAATAAATGTTTTGTTATAAAGAATTATATGCAGAAAAGTGCATTTTCAGCAATCTCTAGTAAAAAATTACAATTTTTGGTGATCATTGGAATGTAACTTCCTATTTTCTATAGGTTTAATGTGTTAACATTCAGGTTTTTTACTTTGTCACCATTTTCTAGGAACAATACTTCCATGAAAGTTGAGGACTAACTGATTTTGTGTGTGTGTGTGTGTGTGTGTGTGTGTGTACACATATGTATATATAGTCTGTGCATATATATTATATATGAAATCCAACCCCCTGATTTTATGATAAGAAACTGGAAACCAAAGAAGGGAAGTACTTTTTCCAAGGTTACGCTGGTAGTTATAAGCAGAGCCAGGATTCAGCCCTGGAAAGAAGTGAGAAAATGGGGAGAGATCCAGGAAAAAAACAAAAAGCAAAAAAGAAAGGACTAAAGAGAGGAAATGAAGCAAGAAAAAGAAAGGGAGAGAAAGGAAGGAGAAAAAAGTATGAATGAGGTAAAGAAGGAAAGGGGGCAAGACAACAGATGGAGAACAGATAAATAATCAATAAACATTTAATAAGTGCTTTCTATGTGACAAACACTGTGCTAAAACTCTGGAGATACAAAAAGAAGCAAAAGATAGTCCCTTACCACAAAGAGCTCATGATCTAAATGGGAGATACAACATGCAAATATACACAAACAAGTTATATACAAGATAAACAGGAAATAATTAATAGAAGGAAGGCAATAGAATTAAGAGGGAATTGGGGGGGGCAGCTAGGTGGTGCAGTAGATAGAGCACCAGCCCTGAAGTCAGGAGGACCTGAGTTCAAATATGACCTTACACCAAACACTTGATGTTTACTTGCTATGTGACCCTGGGCAAGTCACTTAACCCCAACTGCCTAAAAATAAATTTTTAAAAAAAGAGGGAATGGGAAAGGCTTCCTGTAAAAGATAGGATTTTAGTTGGGATTTAAAATAGTAGTGATTTGAACAGAAGCAGAAAAGATTAAGAAGAGGTGGCAAGAATATACTGAAAAACTATACAAGAAAGATCTTAACATCACCAATAACCACAATGATGTGCTTACTGATCTAGGGCCATACATCCTGGAGAATTAAGTCAAGTGGGCCTTAGGAAACATTGCTAACAGTAAGGCTAGTGGAGGTGATGGAATTCCAGCTGAGTCATTTAAAATCTTAAAAGATGATGGTGTTAAAGTGCTGTATTCAATATGCCAGCAAATTTGGAAAACACAACAGTGGCCACTGGATTGGAAAAGATCAGTTTATAATCCAATCCTAAAGAAGGCCAAAAAAATGTTCAAATTACCAAACAAATCCACTCATTTCACATGCCAGCAATATTATGCTTAAGATTCTGCGAGCTAGGCTTCGGCAATATGTGAACTGAGAATTACCAGGCTGGTTTTCAAAGGGTTAGAGGAACTAGAGACCAAATTGCCAACATTCAATGGATTATGGAGAAAGCAAGAGAGTTCCTGAAAAAGACCTGTTTCTGTTTCATTGACTATATTAAAGCCTTTGACTCTGTGGATCATAATAAAATGTATCAAGTCCTCAAAGAGATGGGGGTGCCATATCATCTTACTTGTCTGCTAAGGAACTTGTATGTGGGCCAAGAAGTAACAGTTGGAACCAAATATGCAACAACTGATTGGTTTAAGATTGGGAAAGGAGTATGACAAGGCTGTATATATATATATATATATTTAAATTAATTATTTATTTTTAGTTTTCAACATTCACTTCCATAAACTTTTGAGTTTTAAATTTTCTTCCCCTCCCTTCCCACATCCCTCCCCAAGATAGCATGCAATCTGATATAGGCTCTACATATACATTCCTACCAAACATATTTTCACATCAGTCATGTTGTAAAGAAGAATTAGAACCAGTAGGAGGAACCACAAGAAAGAAGAAACAAAAAAAAAAAGAAGAGTTTTTTTAAAATAGCAAAAAGTATGCTTCAATCTGCATTCAAACTCCATAGTTCTTTCTTTGGATGTAGATAGCATTTTCCATCATGAGACTTTTGGAGATGTCTTAGATCCTTGCATTACTGAGAGAGCTAAGTCTATCAAAATTAGTCATCTCACAACGTGGCTGTTACTATGTACAATGTTCTGGTTCTGCTCACTTCACTCAGCATCAGTCCATACATGTCTCTGCTGGTTTTTCTGAAGTCCTCTTGCTCAGCATTTCTTGTAGCACAATAGTATTCCAATACATTCATATACCACAACTTGTTCAGCCATTCCCCAATTGATGGGCATCCCCTCAATTTCTCATTCTTTCCCACTACAAAAAGAGATGCTATAAATATTTCTGTACATGTGGGTCCTTTTCCCATTTTTATGATCTCTTTGGGATACAAGGCTGTATATTTTTATACCTTATTTATTTAACTTATATGCAGAGTATATCATGCAAAATGCCAGGCTGGATGAATCAAAAGCCAGAATTAAGGTTCCTGGGAGAAATATCAACAATCTCAGATAATGCACATCATCACACTCTGATGGCAGAAAGTGAAGAGGAATTAAGAAGCTTCTTTTTTGGGGGGGAGTGTTAGGCAATGGGGTTAAGTGACTTACCCAGGGTCACACAGCTAGTAAGTGTTATGTGTCTGAGGCCGGATTAGAACTTAGGTGTTCCTGAATCCAGGGCCGGTGTTCTATCTGCTAGCTGCCCCAAGAAACTTCTTGATGAAGGTGAAAGAGAAGAATATAAAAACTGGCTTGAAGCTTAACATTAAAAAACAAAAAACAAAAAAACCTAAGATCTTGGCAACTGGTCCCATCACTTCCTGGCAAATAGAGAAAGAAGAAATGGAAACAGTATCAGATTTTATATTCTTGGGCTCAAAGATCACTGCAGATGGTGACTACAGCCATGAAATTAAAAGACGCTCACTGGTAGGAAATATATGGGAAATCTGGACAGCATACTAGAAAACAGAGCTATCATCTTGCTGACAAAGGTCTGTATAATCAAAGCTATGATTTTTCCAGTAGCAATGTATGACTATGAAAGTTGGACTATAAAGAAAGCTGAGTGCCACAGAATTCATGCTTTTAAATTGTGGTGCTGGAGAAGACTTCTGAGAGTCCCTTGGACAGCAAGGATGTCAAATCAGTCAATACTTAAAGAAATTAATTCAGACTATTCTTTGGAAAGACAAATACTGAAGCTGAAGCTTAAATACTTTGGCTACATAATGAGAAGATGGGAGTCACTGGAAAAGACCCTAATGTTGGGAAAGATTGAAGACAAAAGGAGACAGCAGAGGATGAGATAGGTGGTGTTATGGAATCAGCAAACATGAGATTGGACAGACTTCAGGAGATAGTAGAAGACAGAAGGGCCTGGCGTAATACGGTCCATGGTGTCATGAAGAGTCAGACATGACTAAACAACTGAACAACCACAAAAGGAAGCCAGGGAAGTCAGTAGGTAGAATTGAGGAGGGATATCATTACAGGCATGTGGGACAGCCAGAGATAAGTGTCTTGTCTGTGGAGCATCCAGAAGGCCATCATTACTGGATCACAAGGGGAGTAAGGTATTAAGAAGACTGGAAAGGTGGGAAAGGGCTAGTTTACAAAGAGCTATGAATGCTAAATAGGAGATTTTGTATTTTATCCAAGTCTAGGAGCTCGCAATCAAATGGTAGAGAAAACCCGCCAACAATTGTGTACAAGCAATATCCTTTATAAAAGGACAAATTGGAGATAATCAACAGAGGGAAGGTACTAGCTTCTTGCAGAAGATAGAATTTTTAGCTGAGACTTCAAGGAAGCCAAGAGGCAAAGATGAAGTAAGAAGAGAATTCCAGGTACAGAGGACAATTTGGGAAAAGGCAAGAAACAGAAAGATGAACAATGTCACTGGATTGTAGAGCATCACATTGGGGGGAATCAAGTATCAGAAAATTGGAAAGTT